ACTTCACTGCACTTTAGAACTCAAAATGACACCAAATTTGTACACTAAAGTCCATTAAATAATAAATTGAAACCATTTAAACAGATCGACCATGCTTCCCGTTCAACTACCCTCCACGGAATCGCATGAACTATCATACCTTAACTTTAACAATCGTCAAAAGAGTGTCAAATTCCGTACAAAAAGCACAGGTTATCGTTATAGTTACCGTTAAAGTTAGATGGTGCAACTCAGCCTATGACTATATTTGTGTCTTTTGGATCCTGATAAAATTATTTCCTTACTAGAAGTTAGTTTGGAAAAATTGTAATGTAAGACGATTTTCATGTGAATAAAGCTTATTTGAAAATACATAAAATAAGTTTTATTTTCCACCTGTCATTTCATCGTTACTAAGGTAGATACTGAAAGAAAAACCTACAACATTTCTCCACATAATTTGATTTTGTATTCTTAAAATAACTGCTCTTTTAGAAGAGTAAGTTTTAACTCAGAAATACTTATCTTTTTTCACTTCAAAATGTGATAGAGTCAAGAGAACTAAACTAGTTATTAAGGTACCTACACTTGCAAAGTCCTACTAACCAAACAGAAAATTTTGAGTGGCCCAGCAGAGAATCAAACCTAGGACTAACTCATTAAACACAAGGCTTTCGAATCGTTCATATTATCTTGTCTTACTTTTTATTACAATGCCCCTTAAAGAAACCCATAAAAACTTAATGGTTGTGTGTTTACCGACGACTTCCGAGATGCGTACGATTCCCAAATTGCCCATAAAGCCTGTGCTTCCATCTCAGATACAGTTAGTTGTATAATTAAAAAATGCATATAAACCCAAAGATCTGGGTGTGACTAATTTTAATAACTCAATCCGAGCGAAACAGCGTTTGGTCGATTTATGACGCAGTAGAGATGAATGTGGTAGTCTCAATTCTTTATACACAACGAACTTTTGTGGAAGCTTTTGGCCTGCATCTCCCCTGATGGAAAGTTTTGATTTTATCCACAAAGAGGAAGCTCTTGGTCTGCATCTCACTTGAAAGATGATCAATGATGATGAGTCCAATATAGAGACTATTTTTAAACCTTAATTGCCTATTTATTATCCATTACAGTTTATCCACATACTTACTACGTCATCATTATCATCATATCAGCCACAAGACCCACTGCTAAAAAAGTGCCTCTCTCAATTACTTCCAGATTGGCAGCGGCCTGCATGCAGCGTCTCTCTGCATCCTTTATGAGGCCGTGTATATTTTATTAAACAACTTATTGAACTGTCAGAAAAAAAACGAATAACCATCCCTCACCTAAAACAAAAGTAAATTTTAACATCTTTATAAAGAACTCAAACATACATTCGATTCGTGCGACTCTACTTTAGCACGTCGATCTCATATTTTAAATCCCGTCCACAAAAAACTCAACAAAACCAGTCAATAAGGTTTACGATAGAATCTAAGAAAAAACCCAACAACCATATTTCACAGTAATTATATTAAGTCAGATATTAAATCAATTATCACGGTGACCCTTGTTTTTTGTCGCGAATAACAGTAACAATAAATAACTATAAATTTTGTCGTTCTGTAGGTGAGGAGAGGTGCTGTCAGACATTTTTTGATAAAAAAACACTTTATGTCTTGTGATTTCGGTCGGTTTTATCTTTTCGACAAAATGTACCAGCTATGATGTGGCGTGAAATAGACCGCGTATGTATAGAGAGCTGATAAAACGACTTGTTAAACTCATAAACAAAATGTTTTACTCGACAATCTTTCTTCAGTGCTGAAGGCTCTTTCCCACTGAGACGCCCCGTTTTTGGCGGGATCCCGTTTAGTGTTCACACGAACATCCCGTTTGCCATACGGGCTAGCACGAAAAACTTTCGAGTTCGAATCGTTTGCGTATTCGAATCGCCATCAAAAAATTTAGTACGAAAACTACAACAGCGCCCTTGTGAACGTGTCGTAAAGTGAACTTAGTTGAGAAATGATTGCACGAAACTTATTTTGAGAATCAAAACTGTCACGTTATCGATTAATTTCGATGGTTGAGTATCGAATTTTGTTGAATACGCAAACGATTCGAAGACGAAAGTTGTTCATGCTAGATACGTTCAAAGGAATTCTAATTTCAAACACATATGTACTTTACTTGTACGTGTTCACACGACAGTCCAGTTTTGCGGGATCCTGTTTAACAGATCCCGTGGGAAAGGTCCCTTATAATCACCAATTAGTAGCATCCAAAGTTAGTGTGATCTGAGGCATTATGTATAATAGTTTGGAGAAGTCAAAATTCAATCGATCAGGAATTCAATAAAAAATAGCAATCATTTGAGACTCGTGACAACAATAGAACTGTGTTAATTGCACACAATTATACAAGGTGACAATTTCTCAAGACTTCACTGTGTACTAGTAGTGAGTAGGGACATATTGTATAAGTAGTACCTAAATCTAAACAAATGAACTATTTTTAACACGTTTTTATTAGGTCGTCGTGTATGTAACTAACTTCATAATTTAATCTAAGAATCTGAATTACACGCACTTCTAATTCTTGTATCACTTGGCAATTATGTGCAGATTACATGACAATACAATATTATGGTACTATCGAGCTGGTCTAATGATGGGACTGGAAGGTGGCCATAGGAACTCCTAAACGAAACGGCTTTAGTGCAGTAATTCAAAGCGTGTTTTTAGTTTTTTAAACTATTAATTGTCTGACACTTTTAAACTGTATTTTGGAACTATTATAATATTTTGAAATGTCAGTTGATTATTCCATGATATTTAGTAGTATGATGAGAGGTCAGAAAGTCTGCTGTATTTGAGATACACTGTGTATAAACAGATTTATTAAGATTAACGCGATCTATGATACCGTGTCCTTAATAAATAAACATTACTTTGACGCCATCATGACAAGGCAAATTAAATCGCAATTACAATTCTTGAAAGTATTTAACATTTCAAAAATCTACGGATTAATTCAAGAAACAATTATTATGAAAATAATGCTAATAATCATCATCATCATTTCAGCCACAGGACGTCCACTGCTGAACATAAGCCTCCTCCAATCATTTCCAGATTCGCCGTTTGGTAGCTGCCTGCATCCAGCGCCTTCCCGCAACCTTTATGAAATCATCTGTCCACCTTGTAGGTTGACGTCCCATGCATTCGCCGTATATTCAATGCTAGCGGCCGCCCGCGACTTCGTACGCGTGGATCTCGTTTTACCCCTTTAGGGTTGGAGTTTCTTAATATCCGTTACAAGGAACCTACCTGCCAAATTTCAAGTTTGTAGGTATTTTAGTTTCTGAGATTTCCGTTTCCGTGATGAGCGAGTCAGTCAGTGACCTTTCGCTTTAATCGGCTATTATTTACCCTGTGTTAAATAAAAAAACAATCTAAAACAGGAGATGAAAAGGTGGTGTTGGCAACTCTATATCTCTCCCTAAGGGTCAGGTATAGGGTTTTTATGGGTTTTTTGGTAGCAAAGTCGTTAGTGCGGCAAGTTTAAACGGCTGCCGCATTATCGCACTAATCAATCGGTAGAATTGAGACAAAAGTTACTGGAACGATCATAAAATAAATATCAGACACAAAATTGGGGCAGAACTAGTGATTCACCTGCCATTTGTATAGTTTTTCCAGTGGCAGACGAGCGTTTATTTGATAGAAATTTAAAACTAGGTCGGTCAATATTTCGCAAAGATAAGCATGTTTAGATATCATCAGTAATAATCATCATTTTGTAATATAACTTTACCCCGGTATATTACTTGACCTACACTTTTGGGTTTTTATTGGCAGTCAAGCTGTAGATCCTGGCTACACAGGAATCGCAGCGGTGGGAAAGAGAGGTGGGAATAGTCCCGTTAAAAAACATCATTTCAGCCACAGGACGTCCACTGCTGAACATTTAGGTCTTCCCCAATGATTTCCATAATGACCGGTTGGTAGCGGCATGCATAGCACCTTTCTGTCTGTTTAGGTATAATTACTCTTAAAATGAAGAAAAAGCTTTGTTTTCTAACATCTTGACTTAAATAGAATTTTTAGCGTCCTTTCGTAGATTTCAACAAATTCTGAATTAATTCTTGTTGGTTATTATTTTTATTTTTCCTATTAAACATATTTTCAAATAACGCTTGAAAACCATGAAAAAAAGCTTCATTAGTTAAGTATGCCGTGTAATACCACAAAAATGTTCAACCCATAGCAAGTTGAACTACGGCGTTGACAAACCATGATGAATGAAGCCAATAAAAATGTTTCTCATAAAAATTCATTCCCATTATTAATTTTAATAACCCATACTTTTTCTGGTTGTTCTTGGTCGAAGAATGCAGGGGTTCGGACTTTTTATTGTAATTTATTGTTGCACCGATTAGCCACATCGATCGATGGTTTTGCGACCCCATAGTCAGGTACATAATCATATTATATCTACGGTTTTCTTGCAAAATAGCAGCTATTACAATTGCTATAAGATACCGCAGTATTTAGCTTGGTAAGCTATTGTCGGTAAATGGTGCTAACGTACCATTAGACATTACTACAGGTGTGACAATTCAACGATTTTAATCCCACGTATATTAGCGAGGCTTCATTGATTAATAAAAGTCAATGAGTCTTATAAAATTCGACATCAAGTTGCAAATAATTATGTTCCTCATCAGATTTTATTTTATGTCTACCTACTATTATCTTATGTCTACCTACTATTATTTTATGTCTACCTACTATTATCACAATTATGTACATGATCTGTATTATTTATGCAAATAAATTAAAGTACCAACTATACTACAATCAAAAAAGAAACTTATATCAATAAAAATTTATTCTAAAAAATAAATAACGTAATACAACAATGTGTTAGTTTTTCCGTGAAGCACAATAAAATCTATCAAAAACAACAAACCTTTAGAACTTTAAGTCCCTTTAATTTGGATTCAGATATTTCAGGACAACAATATCAAATCACAAGCGACTGCATCACTTTGGAGAAAAATCAATACCTTACGTAACTGTTCCCTCGGTCTCCTCCTCGGACTCATCGTCTAACGTAGACCCTTCATTCTCTTCCGAATCCGAGAGACTTTCCACCACCAGGGAACTCTTCCCATCTGGATGCTCGTCAGACACCAACTCAGGCTTCTTCTCTTCAGCAGTATTGTCCACGACCACCACAGGGCTTTCAGAAACGTTGTCCGCGTCCCCTTTCATTTCTTTAACTGGATTCTGATCAGTGATCAGGTCTGGACCTCCACTGTCACCAGCTATGAATTTATCCATCGTAGACTCCACTTCTACCCCTGTATCTAGGTTGGCAGCCATCGGCTCTATGTTAAATGACTGCTCGTCTAAACCACTGAAGCGACTCTCATTCTTTTGCTCCTTCCCCTTCATGTGTGCTAGGTACACAGTCCAAACGAAACTTGCAGCGCTCACGAACACAATCCTGTTCTTCTCAGAAACGAAATAGAAGTTCAATGTTTGTGCTGTTGGCCAAAACACCATGCCAATCTTGTAAGTGGGCCAGAACTTCTCTCTCACTTCGTTCACGCAGACTTTGTACGGCTTCCCTTCGAGCATGCTCATTCCGAAGAAGAAGTACGCCATCGCCAGCGGAGAATACGATACTTGTTCGACAGCTGCCCTGGATATCGCTGTGATCAGGTCCTTCCTTTTGAAGAACCTGCTAGAATACTTCATCCACCCGTAAAAGACTGGAGCCATGAAGAAGGTGCCGAAGAAGCTGAATCTTGCTGCTCTGGCCCAGTTGGCGTTTGACAGCCTTGTCCCATGTTCTAGGTACTCCTGCACGATGCTGCATGAAGGCCAGATTATAGCGTAAGACAGCATGCCCCGGACTAAAGGAAACTGGACGGGCAACCTTAGGACTTTTGTCAATAAGCCACTCATTTTAATGTTTGTTACAAATAATATTTTGACATATTGTGTAAAAGTAAAAGAATCATTTGTGACAGAAAAGTGATGTCTGATATTTTTTTCTCGAAATTCATGGCAGTTGTAAACCATAGTCTTCAAAATTTACTGTAAAGTAGGTGTGTAAGTAAAATGAAAAATCCTTTTTTTTTTTAAAGTATAATAATATAGTTGCAGACCAAAAGAAGCTGAGTTAATTTATTTAGCGTAGCTCGCATATCTACCAACGCAGTTTTCTATCGTTGTGAGCAAACTGCAAACTTATAATTTTAGGAAGTTAGTTTAAAGTTCTTGTTTTGCAACCAGAATCAGGCTTTTTACCACGTAAAAGGAAACACTTAAATCACTCAACGTGACAACCAAATTACCAAACTAGCCTAGATCCTGGTCAAATCAGCAGATACTTATCGGAATTAGTAAGGAGATCATAATTATTACTGGACCACGAAACATGACGTATAATTACCCATTTAGCTATCTCGATCTGCCCACCCACCGGGCTAGACGGTGAACAATCGAATCATTCGATTGTTATTCGATTATCAATCGATTATAGACTCCGCTTGTGCGGAGATCGCCTTTGAGATAAAAGTCTTGATTGGATTGGGCGAAAACGTGCGTGCTGACCGGTCGCGCACGGCTTGACAATTAGTAAATAGAATTATCTTATCAATTGATCTTCTGTATTGAGAACTATAATTTTATTTATTGCCGACATAATATTGTAGATAAGCATGTAGAATTTACCTATCTTTGTAACTCATTGTATTATGAAATTCTTACTCGACTCTTATGAGTTTTCCTTTCCTGTTTCCTCTTACGACTTGTCCAGCCGTAGAAAAGCTTCTAGATCGTAGATTCCCAGTTTAACGCCATCTAGTAAACATATTCTGAATTATCAAAATTTAGCGCCATCTGTATGTTTGACTATGAACTACGTTTACTTCTAACCACATGCTTTTCCTATATAAACTTAGTTTTACTACTCAACACAAGATGGCGCTATTAAGTAATGTTGGCTTTTAGTTTCAAAAGTGTTCACCAGATGGCAGTAAAAGTTTTAATTATACTATTCGACGCTAGATGGCACTACTCTCAAAAGTAGGTAAATTAGACAAGTTTATTTTACAACTTCAAAAACTTGACTGCACGAAATGCAAGTCTTGCCAACATTGAAATTTTCTTCTTCTCAAAACATTTATGTTTTAGGCATAAGTACCCCATCGTCGTAGAAAAACGGTAGTCTCTCTTAGTAAATTTTTGGGCCAAGGAAATGCAATTAAAATTTTTGAAAATTGGCTCAAAAGATTGTACATTATTATTTATTTACTAAGTAGGTAAGTAAGTAACTCCTTGGCGAACCTCTGTTTTTATGTCTGTGCTGTGAGTGCATAGCATAAGTTCAAAGTTTGATTCTATTTTATTTATTTAAGTAATTTATGTTTAATGATTTCAAGATAATAGGCTAGAACTTTTAGTTATAAATAATTTAAAAATCCAAATCGAATGGTAGGAAATTGACTCATTTCTTCTAAGCACCTACCTATCTACAAAACTGAAACAACGCCCTTAGGGCCACATTTTTAACATTATAGCAATCTTTTTCACCTCGTTAACCAAAATTTACGTTCACCAAATATTTTAAGTGATCGCTTCATAATTTTATTCAGTGTTTTAAATGTTTTAAAGATTAACAAATCTCACACTTGTCAAGTTGGCAATAAAGTTGCGGGTTTATGGTGTGATTTCTTAAGTGGGCAACATTGCGGGTAAACATGCCAAGTATAAAAACAACCACATACTGTAAAAAAGCTTTTTTTATTAAAATAAGTTTTGGAAAATTCTTCTGTACTGTAACAAAGGTTAAGGCTGAGTTGCACCACCTAACTTTGACCGTAACTTTGACGATAAACGGTGTTTTTTGTATGGAGTTTGACGTTTGTCAAAGTTGAAGTAAGATGGTGCAACCCAGCCTTAATTTTTTTTTTAAATAATCAACTTGAAAAAATCGAACTGCTTAAGGCAGGACTCGAACCCACGACCTTCCGCTTGCCGGGCGACTGCTCTTCCAACTGAGCTAGGCAGTTCGATTTTTTCAAGTTGTTTATTTAAAAATTTAGTTTGAGTCAAAATTCAATCAGTGCCCGAGGTAATTGAGAGCGGCACGGGATATTTTTTGTTTCGTCAATGTCAGCTAAACTTTAGATTTGTATGCTTGTATGCTCACGTCATATTACATTATTTATCAAAACCTAACCCTTCCCGTGCCGCTAACATACCTCAGGCACTGACTGGTTTGCGCTAGACCTTAATTACAAAATTCTAAATGCAAACGTAACTCTATCAAATTAATATGTCTGTCTATCGCCTATTCATGCTTCAAAAAATAAATCTGAAAAATTCTAACTGATTTTACTTATTAAACCTACTCTTCATAAAGTTTGTGGCTTACCGTTACCAGTAGTATCATGGAACATAATGTAGGTATTTTAAACTTTCGCGTTGCATAATTTAATTAGTTAAAATTATTTGGTTTAATACAGGCAATTACAGGCAATTACATAGACATGACAGTGGCACATAATAATAAAAGAAGAAAAAATAAAAACAAGAGTAAACTGAGCATGCAGTGCCACCCATTCACCAACAAGATGCCCACTGCAACGGGACCCCAGTACCCCACTCAGCATATTATGCCCGTGGCCCACAGTGACAAAGGCCACGGCGCTGGTTTTCAGTGTGCCCCATGCCGAGTGAGGGTCACGGACCATTGGTTTAGTATTACCTATCCACGTATCATGGATATTTCAAGGTAGAAGATGTTTTAGGAATCGACTAGAACGGAAATCCGTATCAACACGTGCCAGCGCTTTTTTCATACATTTTTTGCTTTAGAGGTCAGTTATAAATTGGCCGGTCAACTCCTGCTGTGACCGCATGCAGCATCTACCGTGGGTCGAAAACCACAGCTTGCTTTGAGTTGACTCTCCTACCTTTATTAAAATTTTATTTTAATAAAGGTAACGTAACGTAAAGAAACGTAACGTTACGTAAGTAGGTAAGTGCATTGTGACTTTAAAAAAAAATCCCTACATAGTTTACCGGTCTGTAAACCTACAAAATTTTTTTACCTAGGTAGGTAATACCTACTTAAAGTTGACCGTAACTGTGCGAGCTAACTGAGCTTTTGGCATCTACTGAAAGCTAAGTTAAATGGTTAAACAAACAGATGTTTAACTCAAAACCAATTTAAAATCAATTAAGAAGTAACTTTGCCCTTCAGGATTCATTATTCATTAATCATTATGACTCTCACAAAGTTTCATTAAGTTTACACTTCTGCCCAAAAAAATGGGACAGATAAAATTTCATTTAACACCTTTTCGCCGACAAAGAATTTGATTTGAAACTTTTAGTTATTAAATACTTATTCATTTCCGTATGATATTTAATAACAAACACGTGCTGGTATAGACAGTAAAAAAAGTTATGACAATAAAATACATCTTTGTGGCCATAATGTTTTTGTGAAAGCAGTAAAATAAAGCAGAACTGTTCGGAAGCACGTCAAGTGTCAGGTTACTGCCGCGGAAGTCTATGGGCTTACACGGGGTTTACGGCTTAATTATAGACATCAGTTTTTAAGTGTGAACTAATCTAAGAAAAAGATTGAATTAGTTTGTTAGGTACGAGAATCAATAGGTGCTAAAGGCTACAAGCTGTTGTAGGTAACACAATTATAAAATAATACTTTTTAATTTAATTAAATCATTAAAAAAATGTTTATCTTAAGACCTAAAAATACGATAAATGAGATTAATAAAAATCTATTACAGAATTTCAAAATATATATATAAATCTATTTCAAAATATTTAGTCGGCCGTTTGGTGCAGTGGTTCGAAACGGACTACTATTCCGGAGGTAGCGGGTTCGATTCCCGCACAGTACAAACATTTGTGTGCATGAACATATTTGTTTGTATTGGACTGGGTGTTTTCTATGTATAATAAGTATGTATTTACAAAAAAAAAGTATTTAAGTATGTTTATATCCGTTGTCTAGTACCCATAGCACAAGCTTTGCTTAGTTTGGGACTAGAAGCGCTGTGTAAAATGTCCAAGGATATTTATTTATTTATTATTTATTTAATTATAAAGATCTTTAAATAAAATATGTAAATCTGTATTAATGCTCTACCTACTACCTCTACCACACATAATAAAATTCTCTCATGATGATCAATCAATTTTAAGTTTCACCTATTAGATATTCCGGTCAAGACTTTATTTTATCGGTAATTAAACATTTTTTCAAGTTTTCAACAAAATCATGTAAGTAGATTTAAAAATAATAATTCCCAATCCTAATAATTTACTTAACAAAAACTCCATAACTCTTTCCGTCGGCGTTCACATTGAGGTTAATCGACATCCAGTGTTGACAGGCTCTGTATACAACTTACATCACACTCCGTAACGTCAACATACCAATCAATGGTACTGCGGTGTGAGGTAAACATTTCACTTTTTGAAAGCTTATTTTAATGTTACTATATTTTATTTGTATTATACATAATGGTACTCGTATATTACAAATTCATTATTTTTATTCACCCAAGCTTTATAAAGTCTAATAAAATTATATGTTCGTTCGTTCGTTTCAGCCGAAAGACGTCCACAGCTGGACAAAGGCCTCCCCTAAGGATTTCCACAAAGACCGGTATCCGGACCACAAAGTATGTACCTACGTTTGATCCTTTTAATATTTTGAATAATACAATAGGTTTTTAAAAGCGAATTCGGTGGCGTCCATTTTAAAAAAACCAGGTTAAAATTATCCTATGTCCTTTTCCGGGACTCAAACTAAGTATTTTTTTTACTTATACCAAATTTCATCAAAATCGGTTCAGTGGTTTAGGCGTGCAAGCGTAACAGACAGATTTACTTTCGCTTTTAGTGATTTTATTAATTAGTAAGGATTTAGATAGAAATATCCCGAATAAACTTAATATCG